AGGCAGCTGGGGAAATTGGATGTGCGTAGGGAGGGTGATTGGCGCGGTGGGTTAACAATTACTGGAACCGATCCCCTGTATGGTTCTCTCTGCAGCAGCTGAAGACTGGCTTCTTCCCCTCCTCTCCCTCCCGCTTGTGTTCAGAGACGGGATCGATTCCAGTAATTTCTCCTCCGTTGCACCCATCATCCTCCCTGTGCACCATACGGTACCCCATGTTTCCCAGGCCCCCCTGTGTGTGCCCCCCCCCCCCAGTGCTCCTGGGTTCCCTCCTCTCCCTCCCACCGGTAACTGCAAGCACACAATGGGATCCTTCAGGATGATGTATAATAAAATATATATATATATTTTTTTTTTTTTTTAATTGAAATATATTTTGAAATATATTGAATATGACCAAAATTGTAGTATTTCAAATATATTTTCTTCCATATGGGTATATACACTATATTGCCAAAAGTATTGGCCCCGCCCTCCAAATCATGTGATTCAGGTGTTCCAATCCCCTCCATGGACACAGGTGTATACAATCATCCCCTAGACATGCAGACTGCTTCTACAAACATTGGTGAAAGAATGGGTCGCTCTCAGGAGCTCAGTGACTCCAAGCGTGGTCCCGTGATAGGTGGCCACCTGGGCAATAAGTCCATCCGTGACATTTCCTGGCTAAATATTCCACGCTCAACTGTTAGTGGGATTATAACAAAGTGGAAGCAACTGGGAACAACAGCCACTCAGCCACCAAGTGATAGGCCACGTCACATGACAGGGCGGGGGTCAGCGCATGCTGAAGCTCACAGTGCGCAGAAGTCGCCAACTGTCTGCAGAGTCAATAGCTAAAGACCTCCAAACTTGGTGTGGCCTTCAGATGAGCCCAACAACAGTGCGTAGAGAGCTTCATGGAATGGGTTTCCATGGCCGAGCAGCTGCATCCAAGCCTTACATTACCAAGTGCAATGCAAAGCGTCGGATGCTGTGGTGTAAAGCACGCCGCCACTGGACTCTAGAGCAGTGGAGGCGTGTTCTCTGGAGTGACCAATCATGCTTCTCTGTCTGGCAATCCGATGGACGTGTCTGGGTTTGGCAGTTGCCAGGAGAACGGTACTTGCCTGACTGCATTGTGCCAAGTGTAAAGTTTGGTGGAGGGGGGATTATGGTGTGGGGTTGTTTTTCAGGGGTTGGGCTTGGCCCCCTAGTTCCAGTGAAGGGAAGTGTTAAGCATACCAAGATATTTTGGACAATTTCATGCTCCCAACTTTGTGGGAAGAGTTTGGGGATGGCCCCTTCCTGTTCCAACATGACTGCGCACCAGTGCACAAAGCAAGGTCCATAAAGACATGGAGGAGCCAGTTTGGGGTGGAGGAACTTGACTGTCCTGCACAGAGTCCTGACCTCAACCCCATAGAACACCTTTGGGATGAATTAGAGCGGAGACTGCGAGCCAGGCCCCCTCCCCCGACATCAGTGCCTGACCTGACAAATGTGCTTCTGGAAGAATGGTCCAAACCTTGTGGACGGCCTTCCCAGAAGAGTTGATTCATTGATATTGAAAATTTGACTGATCATGCCACAAACTGTCTGTTATCTAACCTCCCTGGCGGTATTCCCGAGTGTAGCTCGGGGTAAAGTTTCAGCACCACAAGCGGTAACCCCGAGCTACACTCGGGAATACACTGCAGCGTTGCTCCGGGATCCCTCAATCACTTACCTTGTTCTGCGCTCCCGCGATGTCCCTCCTGCAGTGTCCCCGGCAATGTCCTCCGGCCGCTGCCGGCATCTGTCTTCCGGGTTCCGTTCCCTGCGATGTCGGGACGTACGGGGGACGGAACTGGCGGGAAATTAAAAAATGTGAAAAAGTGACATTCACTAAATACACTAAAATCACATAGTATAACATTCCTGTATCAAACCATTTCACATACATTTTGTCCCGAGTGCTTTGTCCGGCGCCCTGCCTGCAATTTTACTGTTTTTTCTGCCTGGAAACTGAGAAACGTCCATGGCGTCCAAAAAGCGTCCCTTTAGGTCAGACGCGGTTTTAGACCGGCTAGAGAACAGCGATAGTAAATCAGAACCATTTGCAGAATTGAGTGATAATGATTCGTGGGGGAAATTCTTCATCAGACACTGAAAACGATTCTGCGACTTTGCTCAGCGATGTGCGAACTTGGCGCTATATTTCACATTTCAGTGTTTTTGGTTTGATTACATTTTTGAATTAAATGTATTATTATTATATTATTTATTTTTTTGATTATTAAATTATAATTTATGATTTCGTGTTTCAAGTTTTATCCTACCCGGGATGTTTACTAGACTCTTGTTTCGGACAGATTTCAGTGAGTTATTCCTAAAAATTACAGGCCTACAATAAACAAACTACATATTTCCATGCAAAAAAATGTACCGCTTTGAGCACAGAAGTACTGACATAATCAGACCGCTAGGGAGGCTACAGATAGTGTTGATATGAAGCCATTTCTATCACGTAGTTGTTTGGCTCCTTTTTAAATCATAATGATAACAGAAATTATCAAATGGTCCGCATCAGAAGTCTCCGCCCCCGGATCAGAAGTCTCCGCCCCCTGGAATGTTCGGCCTTGGTACAGACACACAACGTGACACACACACGGGGTAAAATGGCAATTACAGGTTAATTCCCCACATCTGTGGCTTTTTAAATTGCGATTATTGTCAGTGTATAAATAATCAGTGAGTTTGTTAGCTCTCCAATGGATGCACTGAGCAGGCTAAATACTGAGCCATGGGGAGCGGAAGAGAACTGTCAAAAGACCTGCGTAAAAAGGTAATGGAACTTTATAAAGATGGAAAAGGATATAAAAAGTCATCCAAAGCCTTGAATATGGCAGTCAGTACTGTTCAATCACTCATTAAGAAGTGGAAAATTTTGAGATTTCTTGATACCAAGCCAAGGTCAGGTAGACTAAGAAAGATTGCAGCCACAACTGGCAGAATTGTTCAGGATGCAAAGAAAAATCCACAGGTAACCTGAGGAGAAATACAGGCTGCTCTGGAAAAAGGCGGTGTGGTTGTTTCAAGGAGCACAATATGATACTTGAACAAAAATGAGCTGCATGGTGGAGTTGCCAGAAAGAAGCATTTCCTGTGCCAATTCCACAAAAAAGCCTGGTTAGAATATGCCTGACAACACCCTGACACCCCTCACCGGGCTTTTTCATGGCATTGAGACGATAGGGTTGATTTACTAAAACTGGAGACTGCAGAATCTGGTGCAGCCGTGCATGGTGTACAATCAGCTTCTAACTTCAGCTTGTTCCATTAAAGCGGAGTTCCCCTAAAAAGTGGAAGCTCCGCTTGTTTGCCTCCTCCCCCACTCCACTGCCATATTTGGTACCTTTTGGGGGAGATACCTGGTTTTGACAAGGTACCCGCTCCAACTTTCAGCTCAGTTTGCAGCGGGGAAGTGAGCTGGAAGTTCAGCCCCCCTCTTTCCTCCCGCAGTCTCCTCGGAACCTTCACAAGTCCCAGAAGACTGCTGGACCAATCAGGATGCGCAGCGCAATTCCCGCATGCGCAGTGGGCACCCGGCTATGAAGCCGCAAGCTGTCACAGCCTGGTGCCCACAGTCGAGATTCCGGTGCCGGAGAGAGAAGAAGGAGAGAAGGGACAGCGCGGGAGACCCCGGGAGAGGTAAGTCAGCAGATACAGTTTTTGTAGCTGCTGACTTAATAAACACAAAAACGGCTGGAACTCCACTTTAAAGTGTTCCTAAACCCCCAGCAGTACAATCAGTCTATAGATGCAGTAAAGCATGCTTGTTATACTCACTGTGGAACCTAAGGGGTTAATCCTCTGCATTGTGTAAAAAGGCTGTTTTATCCTGTCTTCTCTGATCCTCCCCTTCTTCTACTGTCACCTATCCATCTGCTGATAGAACACAGCCTTGGGAACAAGCTGCACATGCTCAGTTTGGTGTGTATTGCTAGAGATTTCTTTTTCTCTTGGGAGGGTGCATGTGATCAGCACAGGGCCAATCAGCATTGTCCAGACAGGGGTCCAGGGTTCTGCATCGTCCTAAAGCAGAATGAAAACTTCTCCTACAAGCTTTATCCAGTGCTCTGCTGAATACTGATAGAAGTCACAAAACTGCTCTATACTGCTGAAGAGAAAATTTATTTTATATTTACTTAAAAAATGTTCTGTGTACTGTGGGAGAGCAGATATAATGAATGCGGGGTCCGGGGGACCATATATAGTGAATGCGGGGTCCGGGGAGACCATATATAGTGAATGCAGGGTCCGGGGAGAGCGGATACAGTGAATGCAGGGTCTGGGGAGAGCGGATATAGTGAATGCAGGGTCCGGGGAGAGCGGATATAGTGAATGCAGGGGATCCTGGGAGAGCGGATATAGTGAATGTAGGGTCCGGGGAGAGCGGATATAGTGAATGCAGAGTCTGGGGAGAGCGGATATAGTGAATGCGGGGTCCGGGGAAACAAGATATAGTGAATGCAGGGTCCGGGGAGACCTGGATATAGTGCATTCAGGGTCCGGGGAGAGCAGATATGGTGAATGCAGGGTCCAGGGAGGTCAGATATAGTGAATGCAGGGTCTGGGGAGAACCCTATATAGTGAATGCAGGGTCCTGGGGAGACCGAATATAGTGAATTCAGGGTCTGGGGAGAGCGATATGGTGAATGCAGGGTCCGGGGAGAGCAGATATAGTGAATAAGGGTCGGGGGGAGACTGGTTATAGTGAATGCAGGGTCCGGGGAGACCAGATATGGTGAATGCAGGTTCTGGGGAGACCGATATAGTGAATGCAGGGTCCAGGGAGACCAGATATGGTGAATGCAGGGTCTGGGGAGACCGTATATAGTGAATGCAGGGTCTAGGGAGACCAGATATAGTGAATGCGGGGTCCGGAGAGACCAGATATAGTGAATGCAGGGTCCGGGGAGAGTGGATATAGTGAATGCAGGGTCTGGGGAGACCAGATATAGTGAATGCGGGGTCCGGGGAGACCAGATATAGTGAATGCAGGGTCTGGGGAGACCGTATATAGTGAATGCAGGGTCTAGGGAGACCAGATATAGTGAATGCGGGGTCCGGAGAGACCAGATATAGTGAATGCAGGGTCCAGGGAGAGTGGATATAGTGAATGCAGGGTCCGGGGAGAGCGGATATAGTGAATGCAGGGTCCGGGGAGACCAGATATAGTGAATTCGGGGTCCAAGGAGACCGGATATAGTGAATGCAGGGTCCGGGGAGACCAGATATAGTGAATGCAGGGTTCGGGGAGAGAGCGAATAGTGAATGGGGGGTCCGGGAGAGACCAGATATAGTGAATGCAGGGTCCGGGGAGAGCGAATATGGTGATTTGGGGGTCCGGGGGAGACCAGATATAGTGAATGCAGGGTCCGGGGAGATCAGATATAGTGAATGCAGGGTCCAGGGAGACCAGATATAATGAATGCAGGGTCCGGGGAGAGCGGATATAGGGGATGCAGGGTCCGGGGAGAGCAGATATAGTGAATGCGGGGTCCGGGGAGACCAATATGGTGAATGGGGGTCCGGGGAGACGGATATAGTGAATGCAGGGTCCGGGGAGACCAGATATAGTGAATGGGGGTCCGGGGAGATCAGATATAGTGAATGCAGGGTCCAGGGAGACCAGATATAGTGAATGCAGGGTCCGGGGAGAGCGGATATAGGGAATGCAGGGTCCGGGGAGAGCAGATATAGTGAATGCAGGGTCCGGGGAGACCGGATATAGTGAATGCAGGGGGGGGGGGGGTCCGGGGAGACCAGATATAGTGAATGCAGGGTGCGGGGAGACCAGATATAGTGAATGCAGGGTCCAGGGTTTAGAAACACTTTAAGCTCTGACCCATAAAACCTGGAAGCTGATTGGTTCCTATGCAGAGCTGCACCAGATTTTGCACTCTCCAGTTTTAGTAAATCAATCCTAGTCACCCAACCTGCTTGAGAAGTAGAATTACTCAGCCCATGTAGTGTTCAGTAGGAGCCATGAGGTGGCACTGTGACCCCACACACAGCTCTCATAGAGTGTCTTGGCTGTACAGTGGGGAACATGTAACCTGGGTGTAGCTGCAGAGAGAAAAGCTGATTTGTTTATTATTACAACCCAGGGAAAAGCATTAAAATTCCCCTCTGTTTCCGCCTTGTTATAAACTTCATGCAAAGTTTCTTCACTAAAACTGTCACCTAAAGGGAAACCCTACTTCAAGGAAAAGGTGCAAGCCCATTAGTTATTTTTTCATTTTCATATATAGAAGTGAATGTAGAAAACTTAAAATGGAACTCCGCTCTCTCCATCAACATTGACTATTTTGAATCCATATGCTCCTAGAATTAGTAAATAGATAGCAATATTCAGGACTTTTCCTTACATGTAACTTAGGGCTCATGTACACGGGGCGTTTGGAAAACTCTTCTGAATGATGGAAAACGTAAGTTAAAAAAAATGTATGTTTAGCTGCGTTTGCATACCGCGTTTAGAAGCGTTTTGTAAAGATAACCTTTAGGAGACCTTCAAAAATGCCCAGAATGCACTGAAAAACAGTAAATAATTAACTATTTCAGACATTTTTAGAGGAATAGAGAGAGCAGAAGCAGAGAGAGCAGTATGTGGTGAGATGACCTATCTTTTCTGATTGTATTCACTATAGATCCCATCAAGAGCATAATGCGGTGCGTTCTGCCATTTATTCCTTAACACAAAACCTGGAACTGACTGCGCTGGTGTACCGGGTCCATATGAATACATGGAAAACGCTTTGCATGCATTTCTGATGATGAAAAAAGGCTCCGGACAGCATCTGGACATGGAACAGTTAAAAAACACTTCGAAATGCAAACGCTTATAAACGCGGTTAGCCGCGTTTACATGCGTTTACAAGCACTTGGTGTTTGAAACGCCGGTAAAATCTACTCCTGAACGCAAGTTTGGTGCGTTCAAAAAAACGACTGTAAACTCAACTGCCTGTAAAGGACGATGTGTACACAGACACATAGGAAAACATTAGGGGCTGCTGAAAAAAATGGAGAAAATCTCCTGAACGTCAGTTTATCAGCTGCAGTGTACAGGGAGCCTTTAGAGCAGTGGTTCTCAACCTGTGGGAAGCGACCCCTTTGGGGGTCGAACGACCCTTTCACAGGGGTCCCCCTAAGACCATCAGAAAACACATATTTCCGATGTGTAAAGAGCAGCTACTGTGTAGAAAGCAGCTACTGTGTTGAAAGCAGCTACTCTGTTAAAAACAGCTACTGTGTTGAAAGCAGCTACTGTGTTGAAAGCAGCAGTATTGGAGGTAAAAAACGACACTCATGAATTATAATTACTGGTAAATAATTTTATGGTTGGGGGTCACCACAACATGAGGAACTGTATTAAAGGGTCACGGCATCAGGAAGGTTGAGAACCACTGGCATTAGAGGATAATTATAACAAATACAGTTATCCTTTAAAGCCCAACTTACTATTTGGGCCTCTATACAGTCTCTAATGATGTGAAACACCCACAATGTCTATAGTGGCCACAGACCATGTGATCTAGGTTGAAAAAAAGGGAAAAAACCTGCACTACACCCCAGACAATAAAATATGTGAATAAATGTGTGGAAAAAAAAATTATATATATATATATATATATTCTGAAACAATAGTGAACCAATTAGTGAACTGCTGCTACTCTTTCCCTGAACACCAAAAAATACAAAACAGTCTGTTCTCCAATCCCAGAGTACGCCATTGTTGGAGAAACGCGCGTCGGGTGGAGCTTTCTGTGACGTCACCTCATTCCGGCTGATGGTCTGACACCGCGGGAATTTTAAATGTTTACACCGCCTTTATGCACCTTATCTATGTAAGTACAATACTTTAATACATTTTTTTGCTGGTTTATCGGGTCGCACTATGAAGTTTTCTTCTTCTGTTTTTAAACCTTTCCTTGCCTGATGTGGAGAGCCGTCTGATGTGATGGATTCGTTCAAGTGAACCTGCAGTTGTCCATTCATCTCCTATTCATCTCCTTGATACGGCTAACTAGGGTGTCAGTGTGGGATCTGAACACCATCTGCTCCTTCGATCTCTTGATTGGAGATCAAAGTGTCTGGTAAGAGGCTGATTTTTTTTTCTTTTGTGTCAAGCATTTGTGGACACCTATGCACTTTCGGTTGGAGGATTTCTCTAGCACACAGCACTGTGTTACTGGATTTTGGGACCTTTAATTATTTAATATATGAACGTGAACTTATATAATTTCAATTAATTTATGCACATTTTTTATGCAGCAGAATTTATTTGATTTATTATTGTTCATTACTTTTTTAGTGTACAGCGCACTCATTTTTTATATATTTTATATTATTATTATATTATTATACAGTATTTATATAGCGCCAAAGGGTTTTGCTCAGCACTGTACAGTAGCAAGGGGGACAGAACATGAGACAATACAGTAACTATACAATACACGAGGGGTTGGAGGGCCCTGCTCTTTGGAGCTTACAATCTAGGAGGGAGGGGAAGGTGGTACAGGAGGATTAAGGTTGCCTGGGAATTGAGTCATATACTGGTGTTTGGTAGCAGCCATTGTTTATTATGGGCAAAAATGGACATTTTTCTTTTTTTTTTTTGCTTTTTTTACTTATAACAGGACACAGTACAGGAGATGACCAGAGACTGCGGACATACAACGGCAGCGGGAATACTGGGCCGGCTCCATATGACGCACAGACATTTCCCCCCCAAGTGTGTCTTATGGAGCAAAATATACAGTAAATGCAGGACACCATGTTGGGTCAGATCTGTGTACAATGTAAAAGAGAGGAGGGGAGGAGAGATAAGGAGGGGGGAGAGAGGAGGGGGGAGAGAGAGGGGGGAGGGGGAGAGAAAAAAAAGAGAGGGGGGGGGAGAGAGGAGGGTGGAGAGAGAGAGGAAGGGGAGAGAGAGAGGGGGAGAGGAAGGGGAGGAGAAGAGGAGGGGGAGAGAGGAGAGGGGCGGAGGGGGGGAGAGAGAGGAGGGGGAGGGGGAGAGGAGAGAGGAGGGGGAGGAGAGGAGAGAGAGGAGGGGAGATAGGGAGAGAGGAGGGGGAGATAGAGAGAGAGGGGGGGAGGGAGAGAGAGGAGCCTATAGGAGAGGAGAGAGGAGGGGGGGAGAGGAGAGAGGGGGGTGAGAGGAGGAGAGGATTCTCTCTCTTTTTTGTTTTTCGCTCTGATAGCTGAGAAGGAGGGGGGGAGAGGAGGGGGGGGAGTGGTGGAGAGAGAGGGAGGGGGAGGAGGGAGGAGGGGAGGGGTGAAATATGTCTGAGAGGAAAGGGGGAGAGAGGGTGTAGTGGGGGGAGAGGAGAGGAGGGGGGGGGGAGAGAGGAGGGGGGGAGAGAGAGGAAGGGGGGGGGGAAGAGGAGGGGGAGATCGTCTCTCCACTTTTTCCTTCTCTCTCTTTTTATCTCTGAACTGGTGCTGTCGTGGGGAGGACACGGTCCGTGGCTAGGTACCTAGGCTGTGGATACCCGACAAGTCGCAGCGATGGAGTCTCCTCTCTTGCTCCCCCTCTTCATGGTCAGCTCTAGGCTCCGCCCTCCTGCACTGATCAGAATAGATGGCCGGTTGGCTGCAGAGAGAGGTCAGGTGGGTGAGTGGTGCGGGTTCATAAGCCGAGCCCACCTTCCCCTGTTCTAGAATTGCTGATCCCGCCCACCTGCCTCCCGCCCGTGAGCTCTCCCGACCTGCCAAACCCTAGTCCCTTGCCTCGCGGCAGATACGCCTGGCCCGGCGGGCCGGATAAATGTCCTTGGCGGGCCGCATGTGGCCCACGGGCCCTAGTTTGAGGACCCCTGACTTATAAAGAATATTGTGATTTCAGTAATACAAGTATATGGCCTATGGGCACATGTGGGGTCAGAATTACAGCAATAGGTTCACTGTAAAGGGTTTTAAAAAAAAAGTGAGACATAATATACACCAAAACCAGAGGTAACATTTATAAGAAAAAAAAAAGAATCCTTCAAACAAAATGAAAAACGATGCAAAACTCACCTTTAGCCCGGGTTCACACTGATGCGGTGCGTAATTCTCAGCGTTTCTTTGCGAATTCCGCACCGCATCAGAATCGCTCCCCGTTCATGTGAACCGCTGCGGCTGTGTATGTTAACAACGCCCCAAAAGCGGTCCGCAAAACCTGGTGCGATTTACAGGATCGGAGGGCATAGGTGTGAATGTGATCCGATTCTAGTTCGGACCAAAAAAAGGTCCTGCATCTTTTTGGTGCTGATACGATGCAATTTGAGGCATACACAATGTATGGCTCAAATCACACTGCACAGAATTCGCATGTGATTTGTACAGGAATGCGGTGCGGTTCCTGTGTAAATCACGTGTGATATGCTGCACTGCACATGTATGAACCCGGGCTCAGTCTGGATCTGCCCCTTCAGTACTTTTTTCCATGGCTGGATGTCCTCAGTGCTCTGGTTGATTGCCAGTCAATGTTATTAACATTAGTTCCTGGACAATGAATAGAAAAGCAGCACAGTCATGAGTGCAACTATTTTGTCACTCTGCTCTCTCCTCCTATCAACATGCCCTGTGTGCTGCTTTTTCCTCCTCTGGTCTGAGCTCTGCTGTACAGGGACTGCACGAGGCTGATACCAGGTCAAATTCAGGTATTTCTTGTATTTAAATATACATTTAATGATTTATTCATGATTACAGAGTTGCAAGAATTTTATATCTCCCTGAAGTGATTTTGCAGGACTTGGGGGCACCATATTAAAACTGCACCCCAGGCAGGTTGCTGGTGCTTGCTCTGAAGTGTAACATTTTTATTGCCTTTACTGACAAACATGAATTCAGAGCCAACACTTCTCTGCGTGAACATGTTTCTCATGCCACAATGTGAGAAGTCCAGGAAAGGCGCAGTGCAGGCGTGTAGTGAGATATCTGCGGTGTGTGGTTACATGGCTGGAACTGTCCCGGGTTCAGGTCTGAATTCACAGAATGACC